TCATTAAAGCATACTGTTGTCACCTGATAAGGCGATTCCAGAGTATGCACCGCATTTTTCTTGCGCGCATCCCATATTTTTATCAATCGGTCATCTGAGCCCGAACATAACATTTGTACACCTCGTCGAGTGCAATGAACGGTATTCACAAAATTTGTGTGACCTTTCATCCGACGCACTCGCTGTCCAGTCACAATGTCCCATACTGCAACAGTCTTATCGGTAGCACATGTGTACACATTTGAGCCATCTGTCGAAAAGTGTGCCTCCAACACAGCACCACTGTGACCTGACATAACCATTAAATTTTCGCACTCTCCATACACATTCCATATATCTGAAATTTATTAAAAAGAAAATATTTGTAATATTTCTCTATCTTTAGAATTAAAGCACCTTACAGATTTGACGATCAAAACCTGAAGAAAGCAGCAAATCGCCATCCGGATGAAATTCAGTTGTGAATATTTCTCCTTCATGCCCTTCTAGCAACATGATCGGCGCCATTAAGTTGGATGTGCGTCTAATACCCTAAATAAAGCAATTGATAGCGTTTATACAATTTCCAAAAGATATTTGCTTACCGACTCCATTAACGCTTTATCCCGGTTGGTAAAAGCGATTAAATCGGTTTTACTACGCTTCGTGTTTTGGGCCACAGGCACCATACTGCTTCCCGGTCTTTTTGTTCCCATTTTGAAATAAGGAATCCTCTACAATAGCTTCTAAAAATTTATAAAAATAAATATGTTGCAGCTTTCCGAGTTCAATTAAAACTTTAAGTACAGGGTGCTATTGATTGTGATTTATATTTACAAGGTGTACCTTTTTGTGTCAATATCAGGGTTGCCAATGCCGCAAAAAATATCATCCACTTGAAAAAAATTTACCAAATCTGGAAGATATCTACCAACAACTTTTTTTTAGTAATCTTAATAAAAACTATAGTTTTGTTTCATTTTTTTCGTTATTTCAGGTGTACTTCGACATTTGTGTGCTTTAGCAAAACTATAACGAATTTTCTCATAAAACTTTACGAGGATGCTAAGAAACAGATATGTTTACATGAAATCTCACTATTTTCACTTTTTTAATACTAGTATTTAAGTAACTTGTTGTTTAAATTTTTTGCACTTCCATTAGCAAATATTCATATAAAAGGTGCAGCTATCACTTGTACTTGCATAAATGCACGATCTTTTCAATGTTCACGTGTGATTTGTGTACATTTATTGCATTTTATTTTATTTTTTAACAATATAAAACACGTTTATCCATTTCACTACTTTTCTTCAACAAAGTAAACAAGCAAACAAATCAAAATGGCTGTATTACCCAAAAACAAGGGTGCTACCAGATGTTGGAAACCTAACTGCACGTCTATACCTGCCATAAACCAATTAGAAGTTGGATCATGTATACCTGCTATGGGCGCTCGCATACGAACTACCAGTTTTATTGCATGCGAAATCTTGTCGCAGGGAAATTTTTGTACGGGGGAATTTGATCGCATACCATTGCAGTGCGAATTTGTTCTAAGTTTTTTATAAATGTTGCGAAAATTTTATTTCATTTATTTGGTTGTGTCTGTACAACGTTTCTCCGAATAACACCGTTTCTTTCCTACTCGGAAACAAAGTAAATACGAAAAAGCAGTGGCTAAACGCAGTTAGGTATGCGATAAATGGTATGAGATATCTCTTACTTTATATCGTATACTTTCTGCGATGAACGGTCTGCACCTGCGATATATCTCTTACGATGTTTCGTATGCGAGCGCCCATAGCAGGTTTGGACGTGCAGTAAGGACAGTCAAATACCCAATTTATGTTTCATAATGACCTCCACAACATAATACTATGTCTCCATTGTGAGATTTAATGAAGATTTAGCCCTCTGACGAGATTTGACGCTAAATCTTTTGAGATTTACCATATAAAATTAAATCTCGAAAGGCTGTAGATTTAAGTTAAATCTTCGTCAAATCTTCAATAATATTGATCAATAAGTACAATTTGTTGGAGTGGCAACCACAAATTCACATGCCATAAGTCAAATGACATTAGTGTTTTCAATATACAGTTGAGGACATTGAAATCTAGCCTATCATAAAAACATGAATTTTCGTATTTTTAGGGATTTTTATATTTTTGTTAGTTTGGGATGAAAATTAGTAATACATATATATAACTTTGGTTGTAATAAATTAAGAAAATATTATTTTAAAAACTAAAAATTTAGAAGAAATGTTTTATAGTAATATCATGCAGAGTCTTCTACGCTTTCTATAAGTCGTTTACGCGCTGCGACAAAAAATTTATAAATTTCGGTAATGGTTCTGCTTCGATAACATTGCACCGAACATCCTCTAAAACTCAGTTCGTATTCATGATATGCCAAAGGCCCACGATTGGATTTTCGGTTCCCTCCTAAGAAAGTTCTACAAAAATTTTTCTTTCCGCAAATGTTTTTTACCGTTTTGATAATTTTTCTTAAATTCGGGAAACTTTGCAAACTATATATTATACATACATATTTACCACGAATGAGAAGCCAATAATTTTCAGAATTCATACAATGAAATTCCGCTTGGTACCTTCCTTTTATCTGTCTGTATATCAATGTCCGCAACTGTATTTATAAAATCATACATAAGCAAACGTCAAATATTTAAAAATGTGAACGTCAAACATATCTTCACTTCCGGTTGAGCTAGCAAAGAAGACGGACGGTCTTTCTCTGAGCAATTTGGAAACCATAATTATTCTTGGACATCATCAAAAATTAATTTCGTTGAAATCCTTTTTTAAGCAGTGGGCGGTGTCATTCCGCAAATGGCGGTGTTATTTTTTGGAGAATCCGAAGGTTTGCTGCATTGTGCGCTTTTAATTTTACTTATTTTCTCGTGAATTGATATTGTACTCCTGCAAGCGGGGTGAAACGTGTTCATA